AGAATTCCAATGCCTGATCCAGTAAGATATAGATTCTACGATATTATTGATTTAAATATCGGCAAAGAACCGGAAATATATGGAAGAGTATATAAAATTGTAGACTGCGATAAATTTACAAGACAATTTTTAAATCGTATGGGAATCCCAGTTCCAGATCCTATAGAAATACCAAAAGATCCCCATATGGAACTTCACAAACAGGCAAGTTATATAATTAAAAGTACAGTCATAAAATATATTACAGTTGACTATAATTAATGAAATAATTGATTTAAAACAGGAAAGATTTCCAAAGAATCCAAAGCGGACGATTGATACTCTCGGTGATTTTTTAAAATATGATAGACAAGTACTTCGATTTTATGGTTATTGGGATGACACGGATAGTCTTTATGGCATTGTCCATGATCTTGAAATTCATTATTTTCTTTGCGACAACACAATGGAGATTAAAGAGAACGTGCCAGAGAATTCTGGACGAGATACCGGTCTTATGTTTCTGCGACGTATGAAAGTGCCTAAAGTAAGAATTCGTATTTCCTAAAAAGATGTGTACGTAAATCGTTATCCTTAAGTCTCAGTACTTCATTATCCTAGAACAAAATGATGAACGAATTAGATTTGCAAGATAATAAATTAATCTCTAAAATAAATAAATAAATAAAATTAATTTTCTTAAAATATTTTTATTTATTTATAAATTTGATGAAATTCTTAAGTAATTTAAAAAAATTAAGAAAATTGGAATTTGACAGTTTTTTAGTGAACTTGATCCAATTGGAACGAGTGATCTTTTCTCTGTTCTGAATGTGTTGGGAGAGGACATGATTCATGGTTACTATACGATAGATTCATTGAACACTGGAAAAGTTAATAAAGAGTATTATAAAGAAAATGAGCTTAGTATCGGTGCAAAAATAAATATTTTTGGTAAAAAAATTATTATAACAGATATGGATGCTTTTACGAAGGAATTCTACAGGTAAAAAAAAAATATAAAAAGAATATTTGAGGATTAATTTATTATCAATAAATTGATAAATTAATTATTTACAAGATAGAATAAATTGAAAATATGATATATATATATATATGTTTTTTTTATATCGTTCTAAAGGAAAAAATATGGTTTGAACGAATTTACACCAATGGAAAGACCTCGAAAACGTAATGAGATTTGCATAAAAATGGAAAAATATATTCCACCTTACAATGGTTTCGGCACTTACGAAGATTCTCTCGGAAATTGTTTTGCTATGATACCGCAACCACCGAAAAAAGATATCACTAAATTTTTGCATTACGATAAGTACGTGTAATTGCAAAACAAACATAAAATTCAGAAGCGTAATTGCAAAACAAAATTAAATAAAATATATTTTATAACTTTTTCCTATATATCTCTTTTTCGTAGAGAGGGTTTTAACAGTCACGTTTTAAGATTCAGAGCAAAAATGATATCGAATATACCAGAAAACGAAGATAGAATATTTATTGTAAGGGTTTTTCTTATGGATGATACGATTTCTATCTATGAATTGGCGAAAAGAAATTCAGGTAAACGTTTCTTTCCTTATTATTATTAATCCAATATCATTATTGAAATTCTTAACATTACAGCCACAAAAATTGGATCAATTATTTTAATCTCTCCCTTATCTTATACGGGGAAAAAGGGATCGCGGTTTATTTAAATATTACAAAATTACTAATACTGTCCTAGAATATTTCTTTATCAATTTTATGCGTTTTTCGTGAAATTTATAGGTTTTACGCGATGCGAGTTTCAGAAGAGGATGCCAATAATGTTGCCTAATCAAGAGATATTTGTAAGCAAGAAACCGGATTATTACAAGCCTGAAGATTTCTATATTGGAGCACGTCTTAACTTGAACAATTTTATCTTCGAAATGATCTCTGCTGACATTTATGCTCTTCGTTACATGGAGTTACATTGCGATAAGGTTCAATAATTTATTCCACGTTTCACTGTTTTTACTGTTCCTACAGTTTTGAGCTTTAAAACGCGCGATTAAACGTTCCCTTACAAATTCGACGCTGATAAGTCGTTGAAATATAAACGTTTCTCTTACGATTTTTTTTTCTTTTTCTTTTTTCCAGTTTCCAAAAGCTAACGCAAAATTAATCCTAGAAAAGATACGGGAAGCGTTGAAACCAGTTTATAAGGAATTTATACAACTTTATACAACGAAGAAATTAAACGATGAGGATCAAATATTGCCATATGAAAAACTCAGGTATTTTAATTGAATTGATTGCTCGAATGATTGGTTAATTTTTTAAAATAATATTCTACTAATTTTTTTCCAGAGAAATCTTGCTTCAATATTTAAAAGATGATATAACGGAACACGAAATAATTACAATTGCTCGACATTACTCGTCTCACGAGAAGAAAGAATTTCATACTCGGGAATTCATAAGGTAAATCAATTGAAATATGTTAAAAATAGCGATATAAAATTCCTTAAATATTTTAAGAATATCGATAATTTTCCTTCTTTCAGACAATTAATACATACAGAGGTTATACGAACCTTGTGGAACGATCTCGATCGTTTGGAAGAAGATTTACATAATTGTGACAGAGGAAGAACAGGATTTTTATCACGTGATAGAATATATATTACTCTTCGTGGTTGCAAGGTTCCAATTGACGTAGAACTTTTAAATTCTATGCTTGACCAGTATGTATAGGTTATTAAATATTAAATATTAAAATTTTCATTCCTATTTATTATACGTACTTGTAATAATTTGAACAATAAATGACATTATTATTTTCTTTTAATAATAATACAGCATTCATACGAACGAGAATGGGAAATTGGATTATAATGATATGCTTAGATTTATGAATGTAAAAGTAGATCCTCTTCCTCCTGCTCTACCGATAAACATCAAGGTATTTTTATTCCTTTTATTTTTATTGCTGTTTAACGCTAAATATTATATATATTTATGCATTATTTTTAAAAAAATAATATGAGAAAATTATTATTTATCACGTATAAATCGTTTGTTATATATATTTTTTAGTCGGCTCTTTGGTGGGCATCGGAAAAGCAACCGGATTGTGGGACTGGTATAATATGGTGTGCACTTATAAAAGATTTAGATATCAAAATAGAAGAAACGGATGGAACGGATGAAACGGAAAAACCGAAAGAAATAGAAAATATACGATAGATCAAACGATATTTTTATACGATAGTTTATCATCTATACAAAATTTTACGACCAATAATAACGTAATTAAAAAATACACAAAAATTAAAAATTTCTTCAAAGTGTAACGTATATTTTTTATCACTTTATTATTGTACTCGATATTTATATCGATAACGATTTTTATAATGAATATATTTTACTACTCACCAATTGCATGTGTCGCAGTTATATATATATCGTAAAAATCGTAGTATAATAATCGATAGTTTTGAAGTGAATAAAAGTATGTTTTCTCTATATCAAGTGATGATTTATTATTAGAACATAATTTTTAATACAAACTACGTCGAATTTGGATTTAGCAAATTATTTACATAGCGACTAACCATGCCTTATATCTAACATGCCATCTATGCTGTCCTCTTTAATTGAAATTTCCTATCTAAATATTTAATTAATTAATGTATATATATATATATATATATATATATATATATATATATATNNNNTATTGTCAAAAAATAATGATTACATTGTTCATATCAATGAAAATAAATTAAGAAAGGTTAAAAGAAAACGATAAACGACCTTATTTGTAAAAAATGTTAGATAGGATAATTAAACTAAAGAGGGCAGTATATCTAACAATAAGTGTTGTCCTTTGATCTTATCATTATTTTGTTATCAAATATAATCAATGTAATCATCTTTGATCTGATATCTATATCTTTTCAATATTTTGAAAAATGTTGACAACACTTTATTATATTTTTATCGAAGATTTATTAATTTTAATAAATAATTGAGATAAATAAGAATTTTTTATCAAGTTCTTTTATCTTTAATATAACGTATTTTTTTTTTTTTTTTTTTTTTAATTCAACTTTTTCATCATTGATGATTCATTTTAAGTAATTATATAATTTATCTGTTTGCATCAACGTTTCCCCCTCTTCCCCCTATATAATATCGACGATCTCTAAAAATAACTACAAATACGCGTTCCAACTGGTAATATTTTTTAATCGTTTTAAATTATCACGACAATTAATTGCACCATATATAAATAAGTATTACTCGTTAAACGCAATGGACAATTTTATCGCTTAAGGGGAATCCCATATGCGGTGAAAAGCGATGGAAATGAATTTTTGTCGATTCGACGATCAGGATAAATTTTTTTATTCTAAAATTTCTACGAATCCCCGTTTATTTATTTGCATTCGTACGTTTTCATAACTTTTCTGCACGTTTTACACTTTACGTAACAGCAACTGATATATTTGCAATCGCATCTCTCTAAAACCTCTTCCGTTCTCGTCACGTGTCCCCGGCTGCAACAGAGATACTCGCAACCTTCGTATCCGGTACTGCTGCCGTTACATTGTCTGAAAGAAAAAAATTTTATCAAATAAGTTATCTCTAAAATATATTACAAGATCAAAATTGACTCCAATAAGTTATCTCGAAAATATATTACAAGATCAAAATTGACTCCAAGAAAATATTAATAATTAAAAAAATAATTATTACACGATCGATATCCCTTATTACGATCATTACGATATTTATTGCATCGTTAATTATAGGTCAATTAATTGTAATATCACAATATCACTGATAAGAAATCAATTCGTTTTATTATCGTAATAAACGATCATTCAAAATGTACATTAATTAAATTATAAAGGAAACAAATTAATCGTCGAATATTTTTTTTTTGTTACTTATAATAGAGAATGATAAAAAAGAATAATAAAAAATAAGTAGAAAATTATTCAATAAACCTTCGAGGATTTTAAATCCTTAAATCCTTATAATCTCTGTATATTAATGCTTGATCTCTGGTGATCCATAAATATTGCATCTTACGGCGAATAAAAAGAGAGAGAGAAAGAGAGAAAGAGAGAAAGAGAGGGAAAAAAGGAGAAAAGTCTCTCGGAAGTTTGTCCTCGCGCATGTTACGACGCACATTTTACACACAGGTGTAGTGTCAAGAAAAAACGATTTCGAAAAGTATACGGTGAAATTGCCGAGGGCGTAATAAACATTCACCACGCCTACTTTGTATAATTATACGGAGGGTTATAATTACCGGTTGTAACCTGTAATTGGTAGGGACCAGTCAGTGGTGCCCAAAGGAAACTTGGTACCATATATTTACCGACGGAAATAAAATATTAACGTGTCCAAAACTAGCATCCGATTAGCCTTACGAATTGACTTACCAGTTGACTTCATCCATTAGATATTTTCTGATCGAAAATTATTGGAAAAAAAAAAAAAAAAAAAAAAATTCAACTTTTTTTTCCCCCGGGGGAAAAAAAAGTTGAATTTTTTTTTTTTTTTTTTTCTTTTAAATTTTTTTTTAAAAAAATTTTTTAAAAAAAAAAAAAAAAAAATTCAACTTTTTTTTCCCCCGGGGGAAAAAAAAGTTGAATTTTTTTTTTTTTTTTTTTCTTTTAAATTTTTTTTTAAAAAAATTTTTTAAAAAAAAAAAAAAAAAAAAAAAATTCAACTTTCTTTTCGCGCGAGAGATAAAGCAAATAGCACTCGAAACACTCGAAATGAAGTATCTATTTACACGTAATTAACAGACTATGAAACTGGACTAGAATGTATTTCTTAAATGAATCGATCGTGTATTCTATTATATTCTTATCTTTATTAACATTTATATCTATTTTTATATTTGTTTAAGAACTGCTTGATGAAGAATTGCTATTTTACACGTCTATTATATATACGTATATATTTTCTTTTTTTATTGGAATGGCTGTTTGTTATCGCTACGTTCTATTTATACCAGGATATCGAGATCATTTTTATTTCTGTGCCGTCTCATTCCACTGCGCTAATGATAACGATCGATCGTTGTCAGATGCAACGGAAATGACATTAATTTTTGCCTAATAGTACGGATGGTGATTCGAGGAGTGATTTATAGGGTTGGCCAAATGAAACAAAGAGCCAGGAGGGTTTCGCCGCGATCTTTCTGCATCTTCCTTCTAGAACCGGTCACCGTTCCCCGGAATACCGTGGATGATCTTAATTCACAAACATCGAGGCGTGAATAATTCAGAGCGACGAAGATTCCTCCTTTCGCCTTGCCGCCGGAAAAACCGTAGCGAATGCAATCAACAAAGAAAGAAACATCTTTATTTCCTTTATTTTGTTCCCGCTTCGTGTTAATAGTGATTGTTACCTGAATAAACCTTCTCTTATTACGTAGAACCCTTGGGATATCTCTCGTTAGGAATTAACGAGATATATGTTTCGATATATATATATATATATTTTTTTTTATGTCGAAATAAATGTTATATAGTGTTTGACCATCGAATTAGAATTGTTAAAAATGTTTTTTTTAACAATTTTTAATAATCTTTAAAAAAAAAAATTGAAAGATGGAAAATAATTAATTACGAATAAACAGTCGAGTCGTAAACACTCGTTGAATTGATTAAACATTGAAAAAGGGATTTAATAAATATTTTGAATACTAATAATACACTTAAAATATTCAATTTTAAAAAGAATCCACAGGGGATCTTGGTGGCCCTGCTAAGATCTTCACTATTCAATACAGAAATTCTATCTTCGATGTCGTCATAACAAATGCGTCATGCTTATACCATTTGAATAGTCAAATTCTGTAAAGTAAAACGAAAGAAATTTCATAGCTTGTGCCAAGCTATATGGTAGAATCGTTAAAATATCGTAAAACATAAGATTTATTCGAGAACAGGTTTCCTGATCGGTTGGAAAAATGTGAGGTTCCGCCCTATCTCGAAGGTCTTCTCTCATAGGTAATTATCGGACGCAGTCGTATAAATAAGCGAGTATCTCGCTACGCGGACGATAACTAAGATCGAGGTGTAGGAATTCGTTGTGTGTGGCTATTATAGAAAATGGAACAAGTCGAAGAATCGAGTGGATCTACAGAATGGAAATAGGTATTTTATTAGCGCGAGATAACGATTAGTTGATCAGAGACAGAGGCAGGAATAAATGTATGTGTACACTGTGATCACCTCGAATTGCGGATCGTAAACCGTCCTGAAATATCACGTGTGCGATATCTGCATTATGCATCGACTAGATACCTGTCCATTTTTTTCTCGCGTTTAAGCGATTTTATTTTACGTAATGAAAAGCGGATGATGGCTATGCGAAACGTCCTCTCATATTTCTGAAAATATATCTGATCGAAGTAAAAAAAAAAAA